GGAGATGTATTTGAAATATAAATGGATATGGCAATTTATAAAAGATTAGCACCAGTTAAGAAATTGTTTTCATAAGGAGTTAATTGTTTGGGATTACTGTAGAATGGAGATATAATAGTTGGTGCTGGAGATGGAATGATAGCAAAGATATCTTATTAAACAATGTAAATAGTAGCAAGTAGTGAATTATTGGGAGGAGTTACATCAATATCATTTACAAATGATTAAACTCATTTTTTTGCAGGAACTAATCAAAGTAATATATATTGGTTGGATACTGAAAAATTAATACCTGAATTAAGAAACACATGTCATTATGAAAGAATAAATGATGTAGCATTTCCTCATAATTATTCAGATGTTTTTGCTACAAGTTCATTAAATGATATCAGAGTTTGGAATGCTAAAAATAGATAAGAATTATTAAGAATTTAAGTTCCTAATCTAGAATGTTGGGCAGTTTCATTTATGAATGATGGTAAAAGTATTGTAAGTGGTTGGAGTGATGGAAAAATTAGATCATTTTTACCATAATCAGGTAGATTACTTTATGTAATTAATGATGCACATATACATGGTTGTACATCCTTAACTTGTACTTCTGATTGTTTAAGAATTATATCAGGAGGATCAGAAGGAGAAGTTAGAGTTTGGGAAATTGGAAAATAAACTTAAGTTATGAAATCTTCTATGAAAGAACATAGAGGAAGAGTATGGTCTATTTAAGTCAGAAGAAATAATGAATAAGCTGTTAGTGCTAGTGCTGATGGTTCTTGTATTATATGGGATCTTAAATCATTTACTAGAGTTATGTGTTTATTTGAAAGTACCTTATTCAAAATGGTTCTGTATCATCCTGAAGAAAGTTAATTATTAACTACTGGTAGTGATAGAAAAGTATTTTAGTTATTTATTTATTTATAGGTTACTTATTGGGAAACATTTGATGGATAAGCTATCAGAATGTTAGATGGTTCTGAAGAAGGAGAAGTTAATGCATTAGCTATTACAAAGGAAGGAGAACATTTTGTATCTGGAGGAGAAGATAAAGAAGTTAAATTATGGGGTTATGATGAAGGAATCTGTTATTTCAAAGGTTAAGGACATTCAGGTACTATCACTAGAGTATGTATTCTCTTTCTTAATTTATAGATTACTATTAGTCCAGATTAAAAAACTATTATTTCAGTTGGAGCAGAAGGAGCCATCTTTATATGGAAAATGCCTGAATCTGTTATCAATTCTAAAGCCTAATAAGAGTTACCTACTGTTTAAAGTATTAAAAACTAAAATCATAATCCTTAATTATCTTAATAATAACAATTATAATAATCAGTACCTAAAGATGCATAATCATAAAAATCTAATCCAGTTGCTAAATCAGTCAAATCAAACACCAAATCATCTAAAAAATGATTCATTTAAATTTCAGTAATAAGTTATCAAAATTAATAAATTTTTCTATTATTCATTAAATTTAATTATTAAAAATTTTTTTTATTAAATTTTTATATAAAATATCATTTTTTATCTTAACCTATTTAAGAACCCCCAATTTTTTAGCTTTATAAAAAAGAATCTTATTTGAATAGACCAAATTAAGGTAACCCAACTTTACTATTCTATTGTGATATATTTGACTATTTATAATTAATCTTTTCTTATTTATCTTATTCTTATTTTAACTATTCATTTTATTCTTATCCTTATTTAAACTATTATTATTAATTTTATCCTTATTTAAACTATTCTTATTAATCTTATTTTTATTCAAACTATAATTATTAATCTTATCCTGATTACTCTTATCGTTATTCAAACTATTCTTATTAATTTTATCCTTATTTAAACTTTTCTTATTAATCTAATGCTTATTTCACCTATTCTTATTTATTTTAATCATCAATATATTTATGAATTTATTCTTCTATCATTTGATCAATTTTTTTCATATCTAACTCATTCATATTTTAATTATTTTTTTTTAATTGAAACTTTATTGTATCTGTTAATTTTTTTTCATATAAATATTAAGTTTACTACAACTATTATTATTAATGTTATTTTCCTTCATTAGTTTCTGCCACCAACTTTCTTAAATTTTTAACAAGAATATCTTTTGGATCTTAATTATCATAAACATCAAGTCTTAAATCAGCTTCTTCTATTTATGCTTCCCAAATTAATAATTAATACTACTAAGGAAGGGTTGTATGATAACAATTTTTTTGAATATATTAAAAAGAACCAATAATAAAGTAAATAACTGAAAGATACCCAAAAACTCCTATCAAAATGTATCCAGAATAATTATAGTATGATTCAATGGCTATGAATGAATATAATAATAGAAAATTCAAAAATAATTATGATCCAAGTTTCCTTTTCTATTCACTTCTCTATGCAGATGATGTTATCTTTTTAGGTAATTATAGAAACTACCAAAAATATGTTAACATAGAAAATTAAAATATCATCTTACAAGTTCCTATTCCTTTGTTGAGGAAATGGAATATTATCACAACAATTACCATAATAAATAAAATACCTTCTTTTAAAGTTCTTTCATTTATTAAGATCCAGCCATGTACAACAATTAAATTAGAAAGAATTGAAATTACTACTCCTAAATCTAAAAAATTTTAAAAGTCAATTAAAAAAGCTATATTATGACTTATGTATTTCAAATAAGGAAATCTATAAATAAAAAAGAATTATTGTAATTCTAATAATCTATTATCAAGAATATAAGTAGAATCCTTAAAATAATCATCCTCTTAAACTTCACAAATAATTTAGTTTTACTCTGTTTTATCTTGAGACAATAATATATCAACTTTTTCAGATTATCCTTTAGTATGAAATTCAAGATTTTATGAGCTCTTATTAGCCATTATGGAAACTTTTTAAGTTTAATCCTTCTCAATGATTTTATCATTAAAGTGATAGAGCTATACTAACAACAAGAATAACAAAACATTTATAGCATAAAAAACTGGTATAATAATGGCTAATGCAGTATATCCAACAGAATTCTCTAATAAATTATAAAGAATTGAATAAGGACATTAAAATGAAAAAAAAAAACCTAAAATTATTTTTAGAAATAAATTTACAAATTGAAATCCCAAAATAATTGTGAAGTACTTAGACTTTTGATATAAACCATTGTAAAACATTTTTAAATTTACCAAATCTGCATTTTCTCAATTGATAATTTACATTTTATTTGAATTCACAAAACTAATTGAATACTATTTCAAACTAATTTTTGGAAAATTACTATTCACTAATTTTTCTTGTAAGAATATTTAATTCTAAATTATGATTTTCCTTCATAAGTTTAGGCAATATTGCATTATATCCTAATGCCCAAGCATTTGAACAATATTCTCTTGATAAAGTATTTATATAGGTTTCTATTTCATCTTCTATCACTGACCATTTATATATACAAGAGAGAGGATCGTGAAATTATTTAATTTTAAACATTGAATCTATTTTTAGAGCTATATCTGCAAAATCCCCTTTAAAATTATACAAAAAACTTCCTTCATAATTAATTGTTTTCAAACATTAAATTCCAAAATATTTATTATTCTCATTTTCCAAAATTGCAAAAAGTTATAATATATTAATTTATTAATCAAACTTTTCATTGCTTGATGCTATTACAGCAAATTTTGGTTGTATAAATCTTAAAATTCCTTAATAAATCCATTTAATCAAATCCAATTTATCAAATTCTCTAGAAAAAACAAAATAATATCCAATTTAATCTTTTATCTAAAAATATAAACTATGATGATTAGAAGTGAAAAACTTTTTGTGAAAGGGCAAGAAATTTAATTTATAAAAATTAACAAATAATTCCTCATCTGATCTCATTAACTTTTTAAATAATGATTTTCCATTAATCAATACAATTGGTTTAATTTTAGTGTTTTCCTTTCTATACTAATCCATTTATTTCTATAAATTTTCAAAAGTTTCTCCTTTATATATTATAATTGAAATATTTGATCCTGGTTTATCATTTTCTTAATTAAGGCTCTAAGGAGATGCCATATTTTATTAATCTCCTAAATAACATATTTTTTAAAACCCTGCTTCTCCTTTATTTGTTTAGAGTGATTTAGGACCAAAAACTACATCAGGTAAATAATCTTCCATTTTCAAAGTTGTATCTATTTTAAGTGTTTATTAAAGTAGATTTTCTCCTTTGTTAACAAATTCAAGAACCTTTTTCATTTAACTTATTTATTTTTTTAGCTAATATTATCGATTTTTAGAAATTAAACTTACTAAGCCAACTTTTTCATAGGACAGTGGAAAAGTAATATATTAATTACTTTCTTAATCATAAATTTCTCTTTAAAAAGGTATTTCTTCTTTATCATCAAATATGATAATACAATTTTATTCTAAACTCATTTTAAAATAAACTATAAAATTTTCTTTTACTTATACTATTATGAAGTTTAATACCTAATACGATTTGACAGACTTTTATATATTTTTTTTTTAAAATAATGCTTTCGTTCAGATGTTATAATAGAATTAGTTTTTGTTTAGATTAAAAAAATATATGCTATTAAAAAAGAAGACGGATAATATGATTATGAATATTGTTTTATTTTAAGTTTTTATAAAGTAAATATTATTAAATCTACAAATGATAAATTATTGAATAGTTTATAAATCTTTTTGGATTGGATATAAGGAGTTTTAAAAAAATCTCTGATATATAAATTTTATAATTCATAATTTAATAAATTATACATATTGAAAGCAAATTCAAAATAAATCTATATAATAAAACACTCAAATTATGAAATCTTTTAAGAAATATTTAATTAACATAATTTTTTGTTTTGTTATTAAATTAATAAGTTAAATTGATGATAAATAAAACTTTACTTGTTTTTTTTTAGAATAGGAAAGATATTTGAGAAAAGAAAAAATATTATGAATTTTGAATTTAAAATATAAAAGAGATTTTGTTATATAGTTTTCAATAAATTAAATAATATAGTATTGTAAAATATGATATTAAAATATTAAAAAAATGGCAGAACAATTAAAGTTTACGCATCCTTTCCCTAAATTGCTATTTGATGATAGTCATATTGAATTTAAGAAATACTCTAAGTATATAATAGATACTGATGCTGGATCTGATGATGCCCATGCAATTCTAATAGCTTCTTATATTCTTAAATATATTAGAACAGATGCAGAATTGATTGGAATAACAGCAGTAGCTGGTAATGCGGCACTTGAGAATGTAATAAAAAATGTATTTGATGTAAATTTAACATAAAGGTTTATATTACTACAAGGATTGGACATTTTGGTGATAATCCTCCAAAAATATACAAGGGTTGTAGAACAGATACATTAAGAAGATTTTATAGAGATAATTACTTTTTGGAAGATGGATTAGGAGGATAACAATAAAGATTATTAAGTGAATTAGGTTTATAGGATAAACCATTAGAATATTTTCATGAGAAATAGCATGCTTGTGATTTTATTAAAGATTCAATTAATAAATATGGAGAAGATCTATGTATTATTTGTATAGGTCCAATGACAAATATTTATTTAACATTAACAATGTATCCAGACATTGTTGATAAGCTTGGATGTTTATTTGCAATGGGAGGAACATATATGGGAGTAGGAAATGCAGCAAATTCAGTAGCTGAATTTAATGTATAAACTGATGTAGAAGCTACAGCAGCAGTTGCAATGGCAAAATTTAAATAAAAAATGTTATTACCATTTGATGTTGTATTAGCTTACACGTTAGATAAAAAGAATGGTAAAGTTATTTTTGAGAATGGAGCAAATACAAAGAAATCTTAATTTGTTGAAAGCATTTTCAAAGCAGTGAGTCATGATGGAAATTATATACTTTGCGATGGTAACTGTTATAAATTATTTTTTTAGAATTGGCTGTAATGGTTGCTTTAGTTCCTAATTTGATTATTTATTCTTTATAAAAGAATATATCTATAGTCTCCGATGGATAAGCTAGAGGATAAGTCATTATAGATTGGTTAACTTTAATGAGGGGAAACTAAAAATCAGTAGTCAGTATATTAACAGCATTTCAATGGGATTCTGTCATAGATATAGCAATCAAAGCTAATTAGGATCAATAGTGATATAAATATCAAAATTTAAATAAAATTAATAACTTTATTTTCATAATTCAAATTCATAGATTTCTTAATTTTTGGGTTTAGAACTCAGTAAATCATCAGGATTTTCCACTTTTAATAATTTTTATATAAGTGGTATCAAGTATATAATAATAAGGGAAAGCTCCAAAAAATAGAGTAAACCAATAAAAATAAATTAAACCATTATATTACTATTAGTTTGTAATAAATAATATTTTGTATATTTTCTACAATAGTATGGTAACATTAACCCTAATACTAATATAATTGTTCTGATTATTCCTTTTTTAGTAAAGATATTATTATTATATAACTGAGGTTGATAAGTTCCTTTTTTATAGATTAAACTAATAAAAATAAAGTAAGGAAAAGCAATTATTGAAGTTCCAATTATGTCATGCTTTTCAAATGAAACATTATAAATCTTTTCATTTCCATTACACATTTGTTATAAATCAGCTATGTCTTTCCAAGTTTCCTTAAGTTAATCTAAAATCTTAGAATTTATGCAATTTAAATATATTGTAAATGATGCTGTAATAGTGAAACACACATAAATCATCAAAATTATAGATTCAAATTTATGTGGTTCCTTATTTATTGCTAAATTTAGTAGATACTATATTTTATCTTCTAATCCACAATAGTAATATAAAAACAATAAGTAAATCCCTATAATCCAACCTAATATAATTTGGTTCAAAAAATGAACACCAAAATAAACTCTAGCAATACCTGTAAATAAAACAAACAAAATTAAAATTATGTATCTAATTAAATAATTCTTCCAACTAATTTATTTTAATTATTATTAATCAGATAAAATCATTAAATTTTATTCTTCTGAATTAACAAAATGAGAATCTAACTATTTATATTTTTTTTCATTTTTCAAAATTTTGAATAAAATAATGTAAAAAACTAATGCTCTACATGCATGTCCACTAGGACCTCCGAAACCATAATAGCAAAAATCTAATCTAATTTTACTATTAATATAAAATGGTCTTGGCTATTTTAGTAACATTTTGATAAAATCACCACAGAATGATGAAATAGAATACATTATAATTAACGACAAAGTTGATAATTTATTAGCTGATTTAACCCATAGGAAAATCAAAATATAATACATAACATTCCTGTCTCCTAAAATTGAAAATACATATAATAGTTATTCTTTTATTTGCACAAATAAATACCAATTGTTCCTTCAAATTTTCCATACGAAAAACTCTCTTGTAGAATTATAGTGATTTGATTACTTATTTCAAAAGATAAGTATCCATAATTATAATCTAAATAGATATAGAGAATCAAGATGAGAGTTGAAAAACAAATTTTAATCATAATTTATTAATTTCATTGATTACTAATAATTACAAAATATAACATCAAAGATTTAACTTATTCAACTCTCTCATTTCTTATTCTATTATTGAAAACATATCAACTCTTAGTTCTTAAAACCTTTTTTTGTCATTTTCTTTTAGGAAACAGAGTCTAACTTTATTCTAATTAGTTTTGCAATTATTTATTTTAGATAATTAAGCAGTATTCTCTTAAAGAGTAATAAATATCATAGTTATTGGTAAAATAAGTTCTAATCTAATAAAAAGATATCTTAAAATGATTTATCAATTAATTTAACTTATCATCATCTGCAATTTCATCTAAAATTAACATAAAACCAACAGTAAAATTAGGTTTGAAATGCTCTAATTATTTAACAATTAAAAAAAGGGCTGGGGTAACTTAAACTTTATTTCCAAATGCATTATCCTTTATGCATTTAGAATAATTATAACAAAATTCTTGTATTCCATTCAAACCATTAGATATTTCAAAACTAAAATTATTTTATATTTTTAGAAGTCTTTTCTTATTTATTCAGAATCTCCACCAAAACCGAATAATATGCAAGAATATTCGTTATATTAAAATAACTATAACCCTATGCAAATTAAGAACAATCAAAAAATGTTTAATTATTTTTGAGATATCGAATGTAATTTTTCTTAAATTCTAAGTTAATTCAAAAAAATTAATGTTTATATTTATGTTCTTTAAAGTTAACTTAAAAAATTTCAATTGTGATTTAATTGCAATAAAAGTAATTTTAAGGAACCACACTATTCCTGTTGTGTTATTAATAAATTCATTACATTATTTGGGTTATACAATTTAAATATTTCTGATTTAGAAATTATAATTTCAGAAAAAAAAATTCATAGACTTCCTATAAATTTATAGTTTAGGAGGATTTTTTTTAGAATTTTCCTAACATTCTAAGCTCATCTTCGAAATTCATTAAACCCATATCTATTAAAATGGTATCCAAGTTGGATAAAATTATTATCTACAAATTCTGTCTAATGAATTTCATTCCATTATTCATCCCATTAATAAAATTTAAAAAATGGATCTGAACGACTTAATAATCCATCTGTATTCAAAAGATTAATTCCTGCAAATTTTGGAATACTATATTTCCTTACTAAATCAATTATGATTTTATTAAAATTTAATAATATTTAGTTTCTTTCATTTTGATCCTTTCTATAATAATTCCCCTAAATAAAACTAAAAATTCACCATACTATATTACATTTATAGATCCAATAGAAGTATTATTATCTAAAAATACATCAATTCTATAACTTTGACATTTTTAGAAATCAAATTTGGCTTAAAAATTTTTTTTTCCATTTTTCATCATCCTTTTTTATTTTAAGGATATATTTGGATAATTTATATACAAATAAGCTTATTCTTTGTATGCCAAAGAAACTGTAACTATTTTTGGGCTTAAATCCTTTAAGAAAAGAGTTATATCTATAGCAATATTTTAAAAATGCAATCTTTTTTCATTTACATTTGAAATGATATTAATAATTGTTAATGGATTTTGATGCAATCATTAAAATAAAAAAATTAACACAATTTCTTTATGATGCTAATCCATCTATATTTTTTGATTTCTTAAAAATTTAAACTAGATCATTGAGTTTGTATTTCAATAAAATCCGAAATTTTAACATATATCGGCAAAAATTTTAAATAATAAAAAACTAACATTTTTAGGCCTCTATATAAATCAACTAAAAAGAAATAATTAGTTTGGAAAATTCAATATATACAAGATTAGCTGTTTTTTTTTTATAAAGAAAAAAATAAATAAAGAATTTATTTGATTATTGAATTATTTTATGCACTACCTGATCATTTTAAATTTCAAGTTCATCAAATTCCTTTGATTTTTTATCATAAATTTTAAATATTTGATAGAAAATGAGAAATTAAATTATATCCTAACAATAGAATTTAAATAAATTAGATGTCGAAAGAGATATCGCTAATATTAACAATTATATATTTGTTAAAGTCTTAAGATAATTAAATTTATTGTAAAAAAGAAATTTTAACTAATTTTTTTTAATTATTGTTGATGATTAATATAATATATAAAAAGGTGTTTTTAAAAAGAAAGTTAAACATGAAAATTAGAATTAAATCTGCAACCTTTGTAATGAACAAAATCAATTCAGTGTAAACAAGGTTTGAATGTAGTTGATAAATATTTTTTATAATAATAAAATAATTGTATTAGATAATATAAAAAATTCAAATCCAGGGGAGTAATTTATAACCACAAGGTTAGGAATTTTTATAGTGGAGGGTTTCTTTGTATTTCATGGATTTTTAGAAGAGTTGATATTCTTCTTCTGTATTTTTCTTATTAAAATAGTCTATCTGGTTTAAGTATAGTCTTTAAGGATTTAATAGAGAAGACTTTAATGGTTCATCTAATTTGAATATCCAGAACTCAATAAAAACAATTTAATTTGGATTTACTTGAGTTCTTTTGAACATCTATATTTATTCGATTCTACATTTGTATTAAGCTCCTTCATAGGTATTTATATATTAATCAAAATATTAAACTTTTGAGATGGATCCTAAAGTGAGATCACACCACATTTTTAAAGAACCACCAATATCAAATATGGATGGTAGAGTTTTAGTTTCATGAAGATGATGGAACATCATATCACGAGTTACTCCCATAAGAGTGTAAAATTGTTCATTGACTATACTTTATGATAGTGAACTGTTGTCTTTGTTCACTTTTTGTATAATACATTTATATGGGTAATCTTGAGCTATTTTTTCAACTTCTAATAATTCTTCATTTGAAATATAGTAATGTTGTGTATATTCATTAAGTATATTAAATCTTTAATTGACAAGTTGGATTGCTAATTAAGCACAAGGATCGTCTTTATGAGATAGAAGGTTGACAATTTATTCAATGGAATAGTTGTCTTAATCGAGAAGTTCGAGAGTGTAAAAATAAACATCATCAAGTTAATCTGTACGAGTAACTCTGTAATTGTAGGTACAAGGAGTCTCTTTAAGACCTCCGAGACAGTGTTCAGGTATATAAGATAGAGCTAACTTTAGTTCCACATCTGCCTTTATATAGACGAACTCTCCTACAGATTTTGGCACTGATACGATACATATCAATTATTTTATTGGTTAGCGCTTACGATGGACATTTTCTAAAGATTATTGATATATAATTACTCTTTTTATTTACACTTTTTGATTATATAGAGAGAGAAGTTGATTCATCATGCATGCTAACGCGTTGCCTTACAATTTTACTCATTTTACAATATCAAAATTTTATTATATATAAAATCCAAATCATAAGGGAAATATTAGCGCTTATGATGCTTCGTATTATATGATTTAAAATACACAATTGTAATTAATTATTATAATATATTTAAGTTTATAAAAATTTAAATATTTTTATAAAAAATTTATAATCTTTCTTTAAAATAGGATTTATAATTAAAAAAAATTCGTTTAGATATTCTTCGTTTTAAACTTTTATCTAAGAATATTTCCAATTATAAGAGCATATTAATTATAAAATTGATGGGTAAGCAAAAGTTACATAAATGTAAGAAACTCAAAATATCTACGTTGATTTAAAATCATTTTGATTAGAATTTAAGTACTCAAAGTTAGTTTAATAATTTTATTATACTATAGATATCTAGATTAAGCGTCTTATAGCTGCAGATTAAAAACGCCTACATTTAATTTTGATCTAGTAATTTGGATTATATTTTATATAATTTTTTATATAAATAAGTTCAATAAATTAATTAATAATAATTAATAATTAGTTAAAAAAAAATGAAATACTTTATATATATTTTGTAGATGATCATTTATACAGCAGTAGCATCAAAGAAATCAAAAAAGAACCAGTATTGGTACTTGAATGAGAAAATCATATATATTGTGCTTACAGTTTTGGGTAAATATGAATAGTATATACAAAGTGAGTTTCATTTCTTTCTGTATTTTGTTATTTATCATATTGGCATGTTTGCATTAAGGGGGATATCGATTTATTAGATAGAATAACATAAATTAGAATGAAAATTAATAATAATAAGAAATAATTGTAATGGTTCCAACACATGAGAAATAATAGTACAAATAGTTCCTAACATATGCGAGCAAAACAATAGATATAAGTAGATCAACAGAAAATTCATGATAATTTACCTGAATAAATTGATTTTAATTCAGCTATTCTTTTTTAAAACAATCTATAATTTTATTTTGAGTCCATAAGATGATCAATTTGCCAAAGTTATTTTGGAGATCAATAAGATTATTGAAAACATCTTTTATATCAATTTGAAATAGTGAAAAATAATAAATAGATAAAATTTTAAGATTGAGTCATTAAAATACAATGAAGTTTTCTTGATTGAATAAGTTTAATAACTTTTACATCTTATATTTATTATCAATTATCAAATTATTTGAAACAGGTATATTTAGAAAGATACAAAATCATAGATTTTAGAAATTTTGGCAATTTAAACAAATTTGGAGCAGAGTCATCTAAATCTGTAGAAGTTGTGATTTAGACTTTGGTTTATGATTTGGCAAAATATTCTACCATATAGAGAAATAGATAATAGTATATTACCTTATTGAGAGTTGGCTCCAGTTATTCCAACAATCAAAAGATTTTTAAGTTTAACTAATTAAGTAGCTTTGATAATATCCTCAGCAATGATGATGCATTTAAGAATACATTAATATTAATTTTAGCATCTAAACAAAATAATTTAATTTTAATGGATTGATTTCAACTTAAGTAGCATCAAGAATAATAAAAATTTTATATAGATTTCTTAATTATTCAATAGCTTATTATATTATTGATCATAATTAAAGAGTATCAATCTAATTATTAGCAATATCATAAGTTAATCCAATATTGACATCAATTATTAATACAAGAATACTATTTGAATCTGTTTTATCAACTTCTTTATTTTCATATCATCAATTATAGAAGCAACAATAGCTGATTTTTAGGAATTACTATCCAAATAAATCATAAATATAATTGACTTATTATATCAACACCTTCATGTACAAGTATTGCTTTTACAAATAAATACTTCTTTTGGTGTATAATGAATAACAAATTTATATCCAATCATTTGTTTTGTATAATTAGATATTTCTTCTGGAGTCTTAAATATTTTTACTCCTCCTTTTAATCTACTTGATAAAGTCCCTTAATTAATTATTGATTTTATAAATGCCTTTTCCTCTTCTTTCTGCAAGTTTTTAAGATTTAAGTATCAATCTTCCTTTTGTATCTAATGACCTAGCAACTTTAGCTGCTTCTTCAGCATTCAATGCAATTTCTCTTTTCTATACCAATTCATTGAATCTTCTCATTAAATCTTTACTTTAATATTTATGATGATCAAAACATTTTGCAATCTTATATTACAAAGCTGCTAACCTTAATAATCATTTGAACATTTATATTAAAATTTTTAATTAATCAATATATCTCAAAATTTTCCAAAATTTCTTCTCTTCTCTATTCTCCAAGCCTTATAATTTATATGGAAATTTAGACTTCTTAATATTAATTTCTACTTATACTTTTCCTATTATTCATCAATTACAGACCTATCGATTTATTATAAAAAATAAATTCAATTCAATTAAATGTGTACTATTGAATTAACTAATCTTTTAGATCTCCAAAATATTCTCTGTCCTCCTTTATTCACATCATAACCTAATACTAAATTACTCATTTATGAAAATATTATAAAACGAAATCCAAATAATTGATTCTTCATTCCTTATATATCTATCTATGCAAATAAACAATGATCAATGTTTCTTAATATTTCATCAATCATCTTTGAAAATCTCCAAAAAAAAAAAGTTTCAAATAAGAATGATTAGGTGCAATTCTCTACGCTAATTTTATCATTCAAATCATACAAATAGGTTAATGGCATCCATTTCTAATGATATATTACTTAGTAATTAAGAACAATATTTAATTAAATTATTTTGGAGCATCCTTTATTTCTATATTATTAGGAAGACCCTATATAAAATTTTTAGTTTTTTTTCAAATCTAGACCTACCTCTTTCATTACTTCTCTTATAAATGCATCAAAATCACTCTCCTCATATGTAATTTACCTCCTGAAAAAAAATCTCCTTTAAATGTATATCTCTTAAATTGAACTATGTTTAACAAATCAATAGTTTGAATTCAAAATTCTCTTATCTCAATAATTCCAATAATCAATTCTTATTACAAATAATTTTCATATGAGCTTATCTCAATTTTGTCAATTTATCACTTATCAATTAGGTGTCCAAAATTAATATTGCTACTTCTGTCTATTTTAAATTTTAGTGCTCTATAAAAAAACTTAATATTTGTTTTAAGCTCTTTACTTTCCATTATTTAGATACCAAATAAATTTAGGATTCTTATTCATAATTTAATTTAATTAGAAAATATCCTAATCAATTAATATTCATATGAATATATTGATTTTAATCCTTAAATGTTTTAAAGAATCCTGAATTTAAATTTCGAAAACTATTTCAAATATGCATTCATGCATCTATTCAACATTTTTTATACATAAAACTATTTGATAAATTCAAATTGTTAGTTGTTAATAAGACATAAAAACATCATGTAATCAATTTATAATAGTTTTTCAATTGTGACTTACACAAGACAAGGGAGATTTTGAATTAGTAGTAACTTTTATAGATAGTTTTCTTTATTAATGACGCCTTGCTAATATCGAGTTATTTTTCATCTCTAACCAATTATCCTAAATCTTTTCAATATAAGATGATTTTTAATTATTTAACATGATTGGAATGTTAGTGATATCTAAATCTTTCTTCTTTTTTAAATGAGAATTGCTATTCACACATCCCATATCTATTTTTTTATTATTTATTAATAAATAAGTATTCAGTGAAAAATTGTTTATCATATAAAAAATATATCCATATTTTTAAATAAACAAAGGAAAATATAAAAGGTATAATTCAATTAATAGATTTGATCACTTTGACTTAATAATTTTATTTAATAATTTATTGCTGAATAGGATTTTTAAAATTAAAATACACTGAGGTAAAATGTAGTAAATTGTATTTAATTTCTAAATCTTAGCTTTCTCTTTCCATTAATTATTCTTCAAAATCTTAAATTTAACGAGGATTAGCTTCAATAATTCCTTCAAATGTAGATCCTCTTGCCAAATGATTATTTTATTAGATAGCTAAACAATCTTAATTATCTGATGCTGAAAATCCAACCCTTACACTATTTCTACTACCAAGTGTTTCTACAATACTGAAATGCATTTGACTAGTTCCATTATCAGATGATATCATCTATTCTTCTTAAACTGCAATAGTTTTCACATTTAAATTGATTTAAGTTTCCAATAGAAAAGGTCTAAGTTCATTATTAACAATTACTTTCTAATAGTCACACAACTTTAGAAATTAGGATCACATGAATTCCTTTACTTTTTGGGCTATTTCTTTTTTTCCATTCTGATGGCCATATTAGTCCAATCTAATCCTAATTCAATTGTATTTTATAGTTTTGTCAGAAATAATCCTCTCAACATAGCATACTTAGGTTTAGAATTAGGCTTCAATTCCTTTATATACTTCATATACCTAAATTTATTATTAATAGTACTTAAGCAATGAATTAGGACAACCTAAACATAAATCTTCCAATTTAACATTTTCTTTTAACTTGCCAATTTTATCTAATCTTTGAAGATCAGTTTTTTCGATGTTCATCCAAGGTAAATGTTAAGTAGTTAAATAGATTAGAACATACCCAAGTGATTCTAAGTCATCTTTAGCTGTTTAACTTACACCTTAATGAGCTGATATACTAGCATATCTACTAGTGCCAATAAATGGTGATAATTTCTTTTTATTTATTAAATTTGAATCTGCATCTTTAGAAATACCATAATCAATTAAATAAATCTTATCTGATTCATTTTTGCTTAAAATATTTTCAGGTTTAATGTCTCTATGAATTATATTCCTAAAATAAATAAGTTTGTTATACTTTTTATGTATCTATTCCAAAATCCATAGTAACTAATATGCTATACTATTGATACACTATGATGAAAATTGTCTGTAATATTTCTAATGATAAATAAGATCATGGCCTAGCATTTTCGTTATCATAAGATTGCATTTCTTGAATTCCCCATGCCATAACAATTCAGGAATTTGAGGAACTCCCTTTAATTTACTCAGCATTTCAATCTTGACTCATAAAATTTGTTACTTCACGTATTAAACTGCCAAAACTTGCCATTTCTTTTTTCTCTACCTTAATTGCTACTCCTTTTTTTGTTTTTAAGTTTTTCCCATAAAAAACTATTCCAAATGAACCTTACGATAGTTTTTTAATTATTTCATATTGATTGTCGATAATATCCCCTATTTAAATTTAGAGCATAATTTTATTAATAGAAAGAGAGCCAATGTTAATTTAAATAGTTTATAGATAAGATTAAATCAGGAATAATAACAATAATTATAAGGTAGTAAATTTGTTATTAAGTGATTCTTCAGAAGCTTCATAAAATCATATAATTTAAATCAATTAATACCAATAATAATTGAAATAATCAAATATCACTTCTTAATTTAAAAAATTAAGGAAATGAATAATAAATAATTGGTAATTTCTAAAAATTTAAGCTGCATTCTTGTATTTTTATAACAAATAAAGAGCAATAGAAATGCTGTATTTTTTAATTTCTCAATAAATTTGTAATTTTTATAAATAATTAAAATGGGAAATTGTAAATCATCTAACACTATAGATGTATTATGTAATCATAATAAACCTCATATTGCAATATGCCTAGGTTAAGCATGGACAAGAGATGAAGGAGATAGAAGATTATGTGAAGAATGTTTAGTTGATCATATGTGTAATGATCGTATCCCTATAGATGATGGTAATTAGTGATATTCTATATTAAGCAATAAAATTTGATAACTATGGAATATAAGAAATAATAGAGACTTTCGAAAGAGATTAAAATTCACTAAATGCAACTGGTGGATTAACTTAAACATTAGCAAATTTTAAAATAATTTCTTTGAGAGCTTTAAATCATATTAAGGATATTATGATATCTATTTGAATTAGTATCTACTTCAAGGAATACCTGATGCAGAAATATTTGGAGAAGCTGCAAGGTAAATTGTAGAAGCATGTGAAAAGAATGATTTAGGTTTTATATAAAGAGAAGGATGCTTAATATTACTTAATACTTATAATAATCCATAGTTAATAAAATAGTTAATTTAAAATTTAGACTCTGCATCTAAAAAGATTTCAACATTTTAGAGTTAAATAGAAGAAAACTCAGAAAGTTATAAAATCAATTCTTTTAGGAACTACTTGTCTTACCATATACAACAGCAAAATAATTAATGGTTCCATTTTAGATATCGATCCAAAAACATATTCATATGAATTCTCAGCATATTTGACAACTGTAGATACTAATAAAACAATAGATTCATTAATTTAATTGAATTGTCATGATCACAATTAAAAAATCTAGGTAATTTGCTGTGATAGATCCCCAAATAAAGATAATGATTATGAGGAAAATGTTTAATCATTCATAAATGTAATGCTGGATAAAGAATTAAATTGAAGACTTTTGCTTAAGATCAAGCTGCAGTAATTGAGGCAGCAATAAAATATTAAAAAAAAGTAATTATGTATTAGATAAATAAATAGAAGCAAGAGATATAAGAAGCTAAATAGAAAGTAAAGTCTGGTGAAACAATTAATTAAACCAGAATATTTAGTTAGTTGTTCAGGTGATCATAGTATTAAGATATGGGATATGTCATTTAATGGATTATTAGAGAATATTAAAGCAAAGATTATTAACAATCATAAGATGGCAGTGAGGAATATTATTTTAATTAATAATAATTAACTTGTTTCTGGGTCATTTGATGAAACAATTAAATCTATGATCTTAAATCAAATAGGGCAATCTATGCCATTTAATGTGAAGATTGGATATATTGTGTATAATTTATATTGATGTTATGTATAGTTACAAAACGTTACTGATAAAGCTTTTGCTGCAGGTACTGCCTACGGAGATATTAGAATTATTAGTACTTCTAACTTTAATGAAATATTAAGAGTTAGAATTGCTCCAAATTACATTAAAAGTATCATGGTCTTTCCAAATCCCAATTATCTATTTTTATCATGTAAAAATAGAGACAATTATATCATTCGTTTATCAGAATATAGACAAATTGACTATATCACTAAAACTGAAGAAGTTGACTTTGTTCCAGAAGGCATTTGTATTTTTAATAATTATATCATTTATGGAGAAGCTAATTCAGTTAAAATTAAATATGCTAGTTGAAATATTATTTTTAATATATTATTAATATGTTTTAGGATAGATTTTCAAATTTAATCGCTTCACAGAATGAAATTGCTGCCTTGTCTATTGATTGTAATTATAATTAGTAGATTTTTAAGCCAATTACATTAAAACAGGTAGTCTTCGAAGGATCTTCAAGAATGTTTAATATGACACTTTCGAGAATCAACAATTGAAGGAATTCAAGGCATATCTTGATTCCATTCCAGTTGAATATTTAAAAGAGTATGCTTAATCTTATAATATTTGAGAGTTCAAAATGATTCCGTATTATTACGATTCTTGTATGCTCATAAATTTGTTAAAGAAGACACAGTTAATTATTTTGTTGATCACTTGAATTGGTTGAATCATCCTGAAACTATGAATTTAGATGATATCCCATAATATTCTAAATTAGTTTAAATAATTGGAAGAGATGAAATGCTTAGACCTGTGCTACACATATCTTTAAGTCTTCCTCTTGATGATTTGTTCATAAAGGCAATCACAAATAAACTGATTATTATGGAAGATTATATGTTTGTGCCTGGAAAAGTTGAAAGTTGGATAGTAATTGTTGATTTAAGTTAAACGAACTAAAATACTAAACCTGAAAAAATTCAATCTGCAATAAAAAGTTTTGTTACTAATTTTCCTATGTCTCTTGAACATATATATTTTTTAGAAGCAAATTTGATATTAAGACAGATAGGAGAGAATGTTTTAAAGTAAAATGAAATAAAGAAATTAAATTTTGATGATAAAATAACAATAACAGACAAAGCAAAGTATGAAAAAGAGAAACTATAATTTTTATCTCCAGAATATGTTCATTTATTTGAAAATGAGTAGTTAATAAATCAAAGCTTGCAGAATCAACAGAATGCATTTTCATTATTTTAATAATAGGGATCATAATCTTCTTTTCCAAATGCATAATCTCCAAATTAAATATAACATATACAACCAAACTAATCAAATTTAATAGGTTAATAACCAGTATAGTTAATTTTGAATTAACCATAACCTACTCTTTATGGTAATCCATCTAAGCCATAAAATGGTGGAGAATTAATTGGACCATTATATCCAATGGTTGTTTATGCTTCAGCTTAACCTTAACCTTATGTACCAGATTATCATAATAATAATAAAGAATTTTAAATATAACCTGCTATACAAAGAGATCCAAATTTAATAATGAATAATCTCTAAAATAATTACCCTAATATTATTCTAAATAATTAGAATATAGTAAAGACTTCTCCCCCATAATAATAATTAGGAGTCGAAACAAAAACAGATTATTTAGTGTATATTATTATTTTTTCATATATTTTAGTAGAACAAAATACGATGATATTATAGATTAATATAATTGGAATAAATATGGAGTAACTCAATAATTACCATCTATAGAACCTGAAAAAATTATTAATGATGTCACTATGCATATATCTTCTCCTCTATAATAATACACACCATTAACACCTACACTTTAGGGAATTTAATAAACTGTAAAAAAGAATGATTTCCATTTAAATCACGACATTTATTCAACCTATAATAATCATTTTGAAGATCCAATTTTAAATCATAATAAAGATCATTTCCCTCAAATTTCAGAACATCCTAGCTAAAATAATTTCCATTATGATAATCCTCATGATCCTCTTAATAAATATACAAAGATTGATCTACCTTTAGATCCAATATCTTCATTTCCTTAATCAAACCATAAATATGACTATGATCCATTACCTTATCAACCTCATTAAAAAATAGATTCATATCGTTCTCCTATTCATTCAATAGATTCCTATACTCCTCCTCCTATTCATCATTAAATAGAAAAGAAATATGATTTTGGTCCTATACCTAATAGACCATCAGAACATTCCTTTCCAAACTCTTAAATTATTTATGATAAACCTTTTATCCCTGATCGTAGCTCATTAGATACTCCTATTACAACCATCAATTATACTCAACCAAAATACTAAAGCTATGTACCTTAAACAATGAATAATAATAATAATTTAAATTCCTTACCATCAAATCTCCAAACCATACCTTTATCCACTATTCCATAAAATTCAGGCTATTCTCCATATTAACCATAATAACCATTTAGTCCAATCCCTAGTAGTACTAATCTCTACACTGCACCAAATTATCCTATTCCTACAAACAAACCATAATCAACTTTAGAATAACCAAAAATCGTTGAGTAAGATGGAATCAAATTTCAAGATGAAACTATGGTTGTTGGAGATAATGATCATCGCTAAACCAAAAATTCCAATAGAGACCCTGTCTTAAACTAATAATAATGTTCAATTTAATGATATTTTTTATACGTCATTTTATTAAAATTTAAACTATTTATGGTCTTTTATCAAAATAAATTTTATCTTTCTTTCAATATAAAATATTTATGAAACTTGAATTCTCATAATAAGAATTAATTCATGTATTTATAAAATTTTAGTATTAATTAACATATTTATATTATTTTTACTGACATCATAGCCTTATTATTTAAAAATACTAAATCCAAATATAAAAATAATATTAAAATAAATGGGTTGTTCATAAGCTAAGAATAAATAGTCAATCTCAATCAACCTTATGTCATCAAAATCCTATGAAGCAATGACTTAATCAAATTTTTAAAAGGACAATAATAAATTTAATATACATAAGAATCCCATCTTCAAAAGAAGAACTGAAAAGAGAAATAAAATGTCTCAAAGCACAGCATGTACTCCAACTTTAATTACATAATGACATATTTTATCTCATTATTTATTATCTTTAACTTATTTGTCAGAAGAATTCTTAGAATATAAAAAAACATTATAATTTATATGAAATATCATATTTGATTCCATTCTTACTCATAATTCTTTATTATTAAAATAAACTTTTCTAGAAAAATCATTATTCTGAAACTTTTTTAATTCAAATTCTTATTAAACGATACTAATTTTAATTATACGAATATTCTTAGAAGATGTTAAATTTTATTAATAAGAACTTCGACTGTCCCAATAATTAAGTATATTTATGTTGTTAAAACAGCTTAAATAGTAGATTTTACAATCTAAGCAAATGACAAATTATTTTGAAGCTTTTCAATTGATTTATAGGGATTATAAATCTCACTATTGAGAGAAATAAGAAATCAAGTAATCAGTATATTTTTTACCTCTTATGAAGATTTTATTTTTTGTGATTGTATTTTATAAGAGAAAATTGTACTTTGAGTAAACTATTTGTAGATCAACGAATTCTAAAATTGGATAATTTTTTTCAATTCCTTTCTGCTTAGACTAATATGAGCCTAACTCTGTATAAATTAGATTCTTTTAAATCTAATATATTTCTTTGTAAATATATATATTTATTTCAAATTTAGCTAATTCTTCAAATTCTTGTTCTTCTTAAATTATTTTTGTGTTTAGTGGTAATTAAGGAAATTAGAGATTTATGTTGTTTCCTTTGAAGGTAAAGAGCAACTCATTAAATATAATTAATGAGATTCAATCTTTTTAATTTTCTAAAAGAATTGGATTTAAACATATAAATATTCATCTTTTTTAAAATAAATAAATTTAAATAAAACTAAAACTTTATACAGAATCAGTCCTCCAAGTTTAAACTAATAATTATTAATACATAAAATAAGTGAATGTTTTTAATCAAAAAAATCATTTAATAGAATTAGAATTCAATAATTAAAGTTTATATGTTTTGTTTATAAAAAAATATTTCAAATTTTTCATTTTGAAGTACCAAAATTCGTATCAATTTTTGAAAACAACTTAATAAAAATAATGTTTTTAACAATTGATTAATGATACAACTTTTTCTCTTCAAAGAATCTTTAATAGAAAAGTGGTAGAGTTTAGTTTTAATACTAAATAGATTAAAGAATCAGACATTCATTTCAAGATAAAATCAAATTCTAATATTTCAGAAATCAAGACTTTGGAGTTTAGGATTTCATAATTCAATATTAGATTTAAAATATAGTTAATTTTACTTAATGTTTAAATTTTTGTCTTAAAATTTATAAAATACTTAAAACCCTGTTAAGGGGATAAACACAAATTATATAAAATCATAAAATTTTCTATTTACCATCAAATTTTATTTTCTCATAATTTCAAAGCTAAATTACAAATCTATTAAATTAGTAACGCAATTTCTTATCTTTTTTAACACTAAAAAGTTATTATATATCTCCTCCAAATTTAATTTAAAGTGCTCTTCTACTATAAGCTTTGCAGTACATACACTAATTACATTTATATTTGAACCAATTTAATTTAGATAATTATTAAATATAATTCTGTAAATTAATTATTCCTTTTTATTAAAATTCTTCATATTCATGACTATTTTTAATTGAACCTCTTTTTATCATTTTCTTTATAAGTTTTCTCGTAGTTATTCCTTTTATATTATCCATATTATCCATACAATAATTTAAAAAAGATGATTAAAAGTAGATTAGAAAAATTTAATCCTATAAGATTCAAGAAAACTAATCTCAATACTTTCAAGAACTTATTTTCTTTTAAGATCTCGTATAATATTTTTCTATTAACTGTATTATAAGCATTAGAAAAATCGATAAATACTTCATCGATAGTATCACATTTTATAGATTAGTTCATTTATTTAATAAGTAATACAATATTTATTTAAGTTCCTAGGTACTATTCAATTTAACTTTTAAATTAAAATTCTATAAATTTTTAAGGAAATTAAAAATTGTGATTGGTATGTATTTTTTGGAATTTAAGGGTATGGTTTTTTTAAAGAAATTAATCTAGCTTCACAAAGCATTTTTTTTATTAACCCCTCAGGTACGTTGGCACCATAAATTTTCTAACAACTGATATTTCTTACATCTTTTAATAATTTTATTGTTATGGCTGCATTTTCTTGAAAGCTAATTGTTATTTGTTCACTTAATATTATTAGAAATACATTTTTATTGATAAAATTTAATTAGATTAGACTATAAGAATAAAAATAAAGTAGTATTTATTTTGTAACAATTGAAATATTAGGGTTATGTTTATAAAAAAGTAAGGTGGATATTGAAAAGAGAAAATCCCATTTTTCAAGAGAAAGTTTATTGAAATATTCTTTTATAACGTTTAGATAAATTAAATATATGTAGATTGAATATTTTAGTATGATTCTTTTGATTTACTTCATGATTCTTTATGAAAATAAATTAATGTAAAAAAAAGTGAGAATAAAAATTTGGAATATTTATGAAGACCAATAGATACACAATTGAATAAATAAATAATTGATGTGCTTTATATATTATTTAAATCATGCGATTTTATCAAATAACACATTATTATATGATCCTCCCTTCATAGTAGACTTAACAACTTATGCAAATTATGCTTTATCTTTTAACATCAATTCAGCAGCTTCTTTGTTGAGAGGGTCAGTGGGGTTTGTTAATTATGTAAATAATCCCATTAATCCAAAAATGACATCTTTTAAACTGCTGACAGGTCTCCAATCTTCTCTCAAGATATTTAAACAGACTTTGCCTTCTAGATCAATGTTAGGATGGAATATTTTCTATAGGAAATTATTTAAATATATACCTTCTTACATAAAACCTTAGGGGGGACCATAGGATATTCCAAAGAAATGTTGACTGTAAAGGCAATCGTTCCTGAAGCCCAATAGCTTTGTTCTGGTTTAACTTCAACTTCAAAATAGAGTATATTTTTAATGTCTGGATAAGTAATTTTAAGGTTTTTCAAATCACTAGGAAAAGCATCGTTGAATTCTTATTGATCACTCAAAGCTCTTTTCCAAGCACCTGTTTATGCTAATAATAATTTATAGAAGTAAATACTTATATCTTGATTATTTAGAGCGTTCTATTAATTTTATTGTTATTGCTTTAATTTTATGGCAATCATAAAAATATTTAAATGAATAAAAAATAAATGAATCAAAAATAAATAAGAACTTTTATTTTTTTGAAATTTAATTTTTTTTGATAAATTACAAAAATGCTACGTCCAGGTTCCTCAATGAGTAAAGCCAAATAAACAAAAGCAACAGCCCCCGTTTCTGGAGGAATTGCAGCAAAAGTAGTTTAAGAAAAAATGCCTACTTTAGAAGAATATGTTAAAAATAGAGATTGGGTAGGAGCAATATCTCTATTAGAAAATGAATAAAAGTATTATTTGATAATTTAAAGATTAGTTTTAATGATTCAAGAGCAGAGCCTAAATTATGGTTAGCTTATGCATGTTTTCATAATGGAGAATACAAGTATTAGACATAATATATTTTAAAATAGAAGGGCGATTTAAGTTTATGATCAAATGATGACAAAGCCAGATTACAACAAAGAGATTCATATATATAAGGCATGTTGTTTTTATGCTCTATGTCAATATGAAGATGCAAAGAGAGAATGTTCAAAAGGTCCAGAGACAGCTTTATCAGTGAGATTGTAATTGAATTGATTCTATATGATAGATAATTTCATATAGCTCATAAAAAAAACGATGAGAAGAATCTTATGACCTATCATCACAAGATACAAGAAACTGTTCATGATTAATTGTGTTTGGCAGCAATTCATTATTTAAGAGGACATTATGAAGAAGTAACTGAAATTTTTTTATATGATAGGCAACTGATGCATACAAAAAATTATTGCTTGAAAATAGAGAATATACAGCAATCAATGCTTATATAGCTTTGTGCTATTATAAATTAGAATATTTCGATGTTTCTATTGAAATTCTCTCTTCATATCTAAATCAATTTCCATAAAGTGTTACAGCAATTAATCTAAAGGCATGCAATCAATTCTAATTATACAGTGGTAAATTAGCTGAAGAAGTATTCAAACCATTGCAATCCTAATATGAAGGAATCAATGTTTGTGCAGATAATGATTTATTAAAACATAATTTAGTCGTATTTAGAGCTGGAGAAAATGCTTTAAAAGTACTTCCTCCTTTAGTAGAAATATTCCCAGAAGCAAAACTTAATCTTATTGTCTATTATTTAAAAAATGAAGATATTGGAGAAGCATTCAATTTAGTTTAAGATCTTTAACCAACCAACCCAAAAGAGTATATCTTAAAAGCTGTTGTTTATGCTATGAAAGGATAATCTAATCCTGATTAAAAAGAAGCCTTAAAAACTGCTTAATAACTATTTTAACTAGTGGGATCTTCGGCTAGTGAATGTGATACAATTCCTGGTAGGTAATCTATGGCTTCATGTTTCTTTATTTTAAAATAATATGAAGATGTTTTAGTTTATTTAAAATCTATTAAGTAATTCTTTTAAAATGATGATGATTTCAACTGGAATTATGGAATTGCTTGCGCAGGTACTGGAGATTATAAAGAAGCTGAAGATGCTTTAGCATAGATTCAATCTGAAAAATATAGAGTAAATATATTAAATTCTATTTATTTTAGTCTGATGATATTTACATCAAATGGATGACTAGAACATATATAATGAATGGCAAAGCAAAGTAATTGATTGTATTTATCATCTTAGAGAAGCTTGGGAATTGTATATTAATATGGAGACATCAAGTGAATCCTTTTAAATTTTAGTCTTAATTGCTAATGATTGTTACAAAATGGGTCACTTTTATTATGCTGCTAAAGCTTTTGATATTTTATAAAGATTAGATTCAGATAATGGCGAACATGAATATGAAGATGCTTTAAGAGGTTCAGTTGTAGGAGTATTTCAAATGGTTATAGCATCCAAAGAGACTCTAGATCATTTAATTGAAGTTATGAATATCTTGACAAATACAGGTGATAATCCTCAAGTAGAATACATTCTTAAAATAATTAAAAAATGGGGAAAAGAAAATAATTGGAAAATATGAAACATAAGCTATAAATTAATATTTATTACTTAAGAAAAAAGTTTCTTTAAACTTTATTTATTTTTTTATTTGTTTTATTATTAAATATAGAATATATATATATTGATATAAAATGTCAGATGTTTCATCTAAAATAATTCATTACTACTAAGACAAAGAAGACTAAAAAGGAAAAATAAAATAAATACCTAATGCAGCTAAAAATATTATTAATTCATAATTAGAGTCTTACATAAATTTAACTCTTATTTTTTAATTATTTTCAAATTGTACTTCTCCTTCTGTAGGTTCATGACATTAACTGAAATCAAATACAATCTCAACTTGACCCTGAGAAAATTATGTTGTTATCAATCCTTATAGATGATTATCTTAATGAATTTTTTCAACATTTCTATAGTATGGAATTCTTAGAGTTTGAATAGGTTAACCATTTGAAATAAATATTTCCTTCATAGGAAGATAGAATTCTCTTTCATAAGTAATTTCTTTGCTTCCATCTAAATTAATATATTTATTTTTAATGAATGCATTAACTTTGACCTTCTTTGGCATAGGAGTATTATCTTAAGCAATTATAGGTTTGATATAGTATTCATAGGGATTGTCAGTTGATTATAATTCAAACCATTATTTTTAATCAATTTCTACTGTTATATTGAAATTTGGATTGACTTAATTCGATGAAGGTATTTTAGGATTGACATTCAATTTGATATTCAAACTATTATGTTCTTTGTCTGCATCAATAATAATATGAGAAGGTCTAATAACTTATAGATCTATTTTGAATTTATTAAGTTAATCCTTAACTTCAACAAAACATTCATTTGATTCTTCTTCTATTGTTAATAGATTAGCCTTAAAACTTCCACAATTTGAATTCCAAATAGGATTATCAGAATTATCAATATTATAAGTAACTGTCGATCCAAGATATGCTTTTATTTACTATAAAGTTACCCCTACTTTTACAAAGATATAATCAATTTTTTAATTTCCACAACTTAATTTAATTAATGCAAATCCCTCTTGAAAACCTTATATTTCAATACCATTTTTATTAACCTTAATTTAGATAATGTGTCTAGTATACCCCAATACTTCAAATTTATTATCTTCAATATCTTCAAATTAATATCCTTCTTAATTCAAATATGCAATTTCTATTTCAATCTTTTCATCAACTCTCAAACTTACAAATTCTGACATTGGATACATTTGATAAATTTCTTCAACTTGAATCAACATTGGAGTTGTGGCTAATAATAATTAAGGCTCTAATGTAATGCTATCACTTTCAATAATATTTGGAAGATTTAATTTTAATTATTCAATTTGTTTTATGTCTTATCCCAAGGCTAATTTACTATTGGTAGGAATCAAAAGAGGCACATGATACAAAGCTTTAGTATTTATAAATAAGTTTCTAGTATAAGAATTCAATCTTTCAACCTCAAGTAAAGTTTAGGCTTCTAAATCATAAGCTTTTATTCTTATATTAATTTTTCCTATAACAACTGTTGAAACTGAAAGTCCCATTGAATTTGGAGCAGTCTAAACTTATTTTTCATCTAAATACCAAGAGATCTAATGAGTTGGACATAAACAAAGATTCATTTAATGATCTTGAATAAGGAAGTTAGCCACAATTCTCACTGAAGATCCTAATTCAACTTTTCTACCATAATATAAGATGACCTAATTTGGATTATTAACAACAACTGGTATATTGACAGTGTCTATAAGTAGATTATTTGATCTCAAAAAAACAGTAACAATGTAATATCCATTTTCTGCTTTAGATTTAATAGTAACAATATTTTGGCTAACAGAAGCTTCTAAATTTTAACTTGAACTGACAGAATAAGTGAACTAAGGGTAATGGATGAATATAACATGGGTTTCACATTCAGTTGGCATATAAACAGTTTCAGCCTGTAATTTAGGATAAACCTTCAAATCCACTTGATTAGAATTGATAGAATCATATTATGTTTATAATTTAAATAGACCTTCTCTATTTGGAGTGATAATAAACTAATTATTGGCTTGATTGATATTATTAAATCCAAAATTATCAATCAAATGTAGAGGGGTCCAATTAGTTACATAAACTAACTTGTTGTGATTATTGAAGAATGAAGTTGCATTAATGGAATTTCCAACTACAGTTATTTATTAACTTAATTCTAAATTTAATTAAGATGGATTAATAACATTAAGTGTTGCTGAAACACTGTAATTAAGTGATAAATCATAAACTACTAATTAGAATTGACCTAATTTTTTAGGTGTAATGGTAACTGAATCTTTTTGACATCCAATTATATTATTATCATACTAACATTGAATATTGTTGGTTGAGGATTCTATTCTGAAAAAGACAATTTAATCAATAAGAACATATTGCTCACCACTTGGAATCAATTTTAAAGTGTGATGTACAATTAAATCTAATTCACTTTAAATAATTGGGAAAACATCTTTATGATCAGTATAATTTTCAGAAGCAACAATAAATTTACAATCAGATATTCCTGATTAAATATCATATGATAAATATCTATTCTAATATTTTAGTCCACGTGTAAAGTAATTTAATTATAGACTACTAGAGTTGTAATATAAATATTTATTATATACAGCAACTATATTAATTTATATAGTTTCTTCTTTGAATAACCAACTAACTTCTTGATTTTTTTCATTAAAGATTTTGAAAGCACTAGGTAATTAACAAATTACAGGTAGAGTGTTACTAACAAGTTTGGGATTAGGCAATAAATCTGATTATTTATTAATTCTAGTGATAATGAATTAAGCCTTTTCTTAGAAACAGTTGAAATGATATTTTTCCATATCAATTTTAGTAATTCCTTCTGATAATTTCTCATTGTATGGAGTTTAATCCCAAGTAGTAGGTCCTCCAAAAACCTTAGTTGTAATAGTAGAATGAGGAGTTACATAATATTCTGATTTTTCGAAATGTAAATAATCATAGACTCTAACTTACTGTGTAACTGATATCTTTTGAGTATTGATTTAAAGATTGTATTATCCTGGTGTTGATGATAATAAATTCAAACCATTACAGACCAAATAATTAGATAGATCTCCTTTTATTTATTGAGTTGTGAATATATCAAAATTATCAAGAGTAAATTTAACTGATCTACATTATGTATAATTTCCTATTTTAGGATCTCCAATAGCTTAATAGAAAGTATCATCAGCTTCTTTTACTATAAATTCTTTTCTTCTTTCAAATGGTAAAATCTAACTTACATCTGTTACATAGACTGTTATTTCTAAATTATTGTATACATTAAATTGATCATAAATTATTAAAATATTCTCTCCTAAATCTTAAGCTACTAAAGTCTAAGGACTTAAGATTTCAAAAATGAAAGGTGATTAATATCTTGATTAATATTTATAATGTCCAGATCCTCCATTTACAACTAAATTATATTATTCATTAATTGGAAGATGTATGTAAGTCTTAAAAACTGTTTATATTTGAATAGGTTGAACAAAATGAATATTAGTAAAAGATTCTAAACTTTCTCTTTTGAATGTTAATTTAACATTTTATTTTTCAACATAAGATATGATTGTTTATTCGTTCAATATTATATCTTTACAATCATATGAGAATTCCTGATTAGTAGAATATATTCTTTAATTTAATTCATCTTTTAAATAAGCTTAAAATCTATATAATCTTCCTACAATTAAATGAGTAACTTTTCCTTCTCTCTTTTCTTTGCCATCTTCCCAAATATCAATATCAATAAATTTAGGATTCACAACATGATATATTGCTTAGATGTAATTGTAATTTGAATTTAATACTTTAAGATTCAAATTCTTTTCTATAGTCTATGTTTTCAAAACACCATTTTGATCAATAGTTGATATTGTAGATGTTGTACTCCATTAATGAGCTTTACTTGGTAATTATATTAATGTTTTTCCATCTGCTCTTAGAAGATGGAATTAAATCATAGAAAATGTAGGTAAATAATACACTGGATAATCTGGGAAAAATTAAAATTTTTAAATCACTACTAAATCTACATTTGTTTCTATTAAATTAACTTAATATTTCTTTTCTATAATACTAGCAAACACTTTTTCTTTGCCTTCCTTCTTTCCTTTTACTACAATGATATCGCTATTAAATTCTAATCTTGCTCTTTTTTCTGATACTTTTAAACCTGATTCAGAAAACTTAACCATTTCCAATTAGCCTACTATCCAATTGAATTTAAGTCCTTCTAATGTTGTGAATGTGTTATCCTTATCATCGTATGCCTAAACATGTAATTCTTCTTAAGTATCCAAATCCAATTATTTTTATTTTGTTATTATACTTATTCTGCTTATTTCTTATACAACCACTTCTACTATAAATTAAGTTGTATCTGAAGACTTCGATTTTACATATATAAATGTTTAACTTGGCGTCTTAGTAATAACTTTGACTTTCCCAATAGACTTCAAGCATCCTTAAGAATCTTGTCCTGTGACTATTATAGCATTATTTGAAGCACTCCAATCGAAACAACCTCCCTCTGCAGTGATTTCATATTCTACTTCAATGTCAGCCAAAGGTAATAATATGTTTTTATTGCTTATTTTTGAGCCACTTATTGCGTTTAAAATTCCTAGCGCCAATATTAATGCAAATTTCATTAATTAAATATATTAATCATTTTTTTGAACTCTTTACCTTCTTTGGCTTCTAATATTTCTCTTCCATTTATTAAATAAATTAATCAAATGTATTCTTTGGTCTCTATCTTATCTATTTTGTCAATTGATCCATATCAATCTTCTATACTTCTGGATCTTCCCTTAATGTCTTTATTTTATTTCTACTACTCCAATATATCTTATAATCTCCTATCTATTTCTCTTTTATCATTCTATCATAAAACTCTTAAAAACGAGGTATATCTTCATTCTTACTCAATATTATATTCTCTAACAAACACTTTACATTACCTTTATTCCTAAAAAATATATTCTAATTTATTTACTTATTATAAAATTAAATCAAGTCATTCTCTTCTTCTTTACTAAATCTATACTTCAATTCATATTTATCAATATCCTCTTTACTTATTTTAGGATATAAATTTCTATAAAATTCATATGCATTTTTAAATTCATCCATTCCCTCTATCATTCCAGTTTCATCATACATTTTTCTCTTTTCATCATTTGAAAGAATTTAATAAGCTTCAGATATTTTCTGAAATTTCTCCTTTGCATTTACATCTTATTGATTCTTATCTGGATGTAATTGCAAAGCTAATTATCTATATGATTTTTTCTAAAAATAGAATTAACTTAATACTATTTCATTCTGTGTTGCTTTTGGTTCTACATTAAGTAACTTATAAAGTGTAAATTATTCTTCCCGCTATTACATTATTTTAATTTATAAACACCAATTTTTATTACATTAATAATCAATTAATATTTTAAAAACAAATATAAATCATTCATAATCTGAATCATCTTAAAGAGAATCATATTTATCAACTGGTAAATTATTCAATCTAAGTATTTTTTCTATTCTCTTCAACTCAGCTCCATTAATTGGTAATTTTTCATCAATTTTTTCTAATCTATTCCCTGAAGAAGAACTCTTTGGTGGATTCTATTAAGAAGATGAACCAGAAGAAGAATATGCTTAAGGTTTCATTTTCTCAATCTTCTTAGGCTATTATTTTCTACCTTAATTACTAATTCCATCACCTTCTTATTAAGATTTAGTTTATTCTTTTGCTTTCTCATCATCATTCTATTCTGTTTATGTTTATTCTTATCTCTTTTTTTTCAATGATTTTAAATGATCTTCTAATTCTTTCTCCAAATTTTTAATTGTTGCATTATCTTTACCTGAATCATTCTCATTATTATCTTAATCAAATACTAATCTACGTACTGTTTCTTTTGATGTTTAAACTACAGTCTTTGTTGGAGACTACTTTTTAACAATTTAAGGCACTATCTCTTCATTATCAGTCCAAATTTTTATATTAAGATAAGGAATTATACTTGTTTAATTAAAACTATGTTCTTAATTTTCTAATTATAATTAAATCACTTATGGAAATTATTATTAACTAATCTAATCAAAATATATTGTAGCTTAACCAATTAAATTATATTTATAAAATTCTTTATCATCTACTGAATATTTTTTATCAAATATCTATACTTATAAATTTTAATATTTTTAAACATCCACACTTATCAATGCATCATAATTTGGATTAGCTGAACAATGAAATACTTTTGATTCTTAATCTAATTAGGGAAATTTCAGTATAGAATTTGGAATTCTCTTTGTTAAAGCATTTAAATTTTTTCCACATTCAAAATGAAAATGCAACTGTTTATAATTAAATTGTGGCACCTTTTCTTCTTAATGTTTAATTGGACTCTTTTTAATTACTTATAAAACTTCATGTTATATTGGTCCTTACATATCTATTTTAAATAATGGTGTAACATTAGGTAAACATTTTTATAAATGAGCTAAAAATGTTAAATAATCAAATTGATTAGCGAGACATTAAAAATCATTAGGCATTCTTTTATGAATTTATTATATAAATTAATCCCTAAAATCTGGCATATTAAAATATCCAAATATTGTTGCTAAAATGTTTGGATTTACATATCTTAATTAATTTGAATCATAAAATGTAAACTCTTTCAATAAATCAACAATTATAGATTGTTCAACTTTTAATTCTAGAGGTTTCAAAATTAAAGTGGAGAAAACATCATTTTTTATCAAAGATGTTAAAAAATTTATTTCTGAATATGAGAATTATAACTTATTTCTCAAGTACAATTCAATATTTTATTAATTCTCTAATTCTTTAATTGCTGGATATCGAAAAGCATTTAAATAATTATCATTACTTGTCTCCTTAGCACAAACATAAATCACTTTAACTCCTACTCTAGCAGCAATTTCTAAAGAAGATGCCTTTGTATCAACCCTTAAGTAATTGCTTTCACCAAATATACCTTCATTATTCAATTATTTCAATTAAATAGAAACATTTCCTATTATTTTATCTTCTCCCAACATTACAGATCTAACTTATAATTCTACAACATCACTTTATAATTCATTCTCAGATATAATAAAAATACAATCTTAAGTATTCAATATAGAAGGAGTATTTGGTCTAATTTCATAAGATTCTGACATATTCAAAGGATCTACTAACATAAAATAAATCTCTCCTAATTCATTTTTGTAATCAAGTAAAATTAATTCCATTATACGAATTATAATCTTTTTTTAAAATTTCAGTCTCTCATCTACTTATACAATTTATTCTACTATTTGATCAGTACTATAAACAGTATCTAGATTTAATGTACATATAAATGCTCCAGTTACACAATCATCTAATGGAATTTCTCCTGTAACTTTGCTTTCTTCAAATAATGGTTTTATTGGTAAATAACCAATTAATTATTTGATTTATGAATTACAATTCAAAAGAAGCTAGATTTATAAATGACATTTAGATAATTAAGTTGCTAATACTTAATCACATTTCACTTGATATTCAACAATGATATCAAAATCATCGTTAAAATCATCACTTGTAAAACATGGTATTGCTTCTTTTAATATCTTCTTATCAGTAGTTAGAGATACTTTCACTTTTAAAGAACTAAACTTCAAATTCTTATACCAATTTATTTATTTGATATTAATTCTAAATGTATGCATAATTTCAGGTTTCAGAATATTTAAAATTTCCTCTTAACTTATTTAAGCCTCTTATTGAATATGACCTTCAGCATTAAATAGTTACCATCTCTCCTATGGTTTTTCATCTTTAACTTACTATTTAATACTCATCTTAAATTCTATTAAAGTTGCATCCATTCCTTTTACTTCATCAAATAATTATACAAAAAATGTCTCTTTTTCATTTTCTATTGTTAGAATCTCTTCACTAGCTAAACTTCCTCTAAATATATTATTATCTTTAAACAGAATTATACTTAAACCTGAAAATTCCATTCTATCATGTAAAGTCTTTCTAAAATCATGAGAAAATTTATCACTTAATGTACAAATAGCCCTCATATTTAGAGGAATTTAACCATTTTCATAAAAATTCGCTTTTAATATTTAGGTCTTAGGTGTTGTAACACTTAAACCTGTATTTTCCAATTAAATTTATAATTAATATTTCTCACCCTCTAAATATGTAAGTTAAATAAAATCTATTATTAATTGTGTTTCTAAAAATTAAAAATCAATTGGTTATGGTTTTTTAATCCCATTAACTTTTGGTTATGGTACTGCTATAGGACTAGAAGGTTCTTTTACAACAATTTCATTTTAAAATAACCAATCAATATATTTCCAAAAAGCAATCTCTGTACAAATCTTTTATCCATCTTAATTTTCAACATTATTGTAATCTCCAATTTAATTTAAAATTGTCACTGCATCTAATAAGGTACAATTTAATCCTAAATCTTAAAATATTTCCATAATATTTTAAGCTCTCAATTCCTATTAAAATTCCCTATTATTAATGTACTCATCCATTTATTATTTGTTGTTACGAATCCAAATTTAAATATTCTTTTCAATAATTGAAGCTAATTAAAATATTGGAACATATATCTTTGATATTTCCCCTTATACTTCAAATTATCTTAAATAATCCACTAAATCTGAGATTTATACTTAATCATCACTATTAACTTCCAATGTTTCAAAAACAGAATTCACTGTAATAGCTGAAAAAGAAGGACCTGAAGGTATATTTCCTCCTTTACATGCTAATAAAAATTCTTTCAGTTGTTATCTATTAACCAATCCAAAATTACCATGTGGCAACTCTCTTTCTAAAGCATTAATACTTGGGAATATTTTCAAAGCTTATTGATAAAAATTTGCATATATTTTAGTATAATTTAATTTCAATTATTTTTTATAACTAGTGAATGCTTACCAGCTTTATAAAAATATATGCCAATCTAAAGTAGATTAATCAAATTAAATGTATTGTGAAAGTGAAGTAATCATTCTCTTATTAAAATTTAAACCACAAAGTTACAAAACAATATCATTGAATTCATCAATTAATATGTATTATTCTTTAGGTAAAATACGTATAGTTTAACTGATTTTATTTAGAGTAGTAATAAGACATTCTTATAAAGGGATCTTCTCATAAACTATAGGTTATTCTATTTGTGGAGGTTCAGGTTGTTTCTCAGGTTCATTAACATTGTCAATAGGAACGTCTTCAGGTTCTTCATCAATTGATTCATCAACATAGGTGATTTCAGTATTTACTAATTTATTGATTTAAGGATTTGTTCCAAAAGCCAATTTAATTTTAATTATAGCCATAGTTTATTTAGTTCTTAAATCTTCAAATGGAATGTCTTCATCAAATATTATTTATGGAGATAGATTATTTCGAAGAGTTTAAATAACAACCAATGGATTTTAATTAAGTATTAGTGCATTCAATGCTCCCAATTACAATCTTGCTATTCCTACTAAAATATCTTAATTGTTTTAAGTATGTTTAGCCCATAACTCTAAAATCCAAGGAATATTCTCCATTTTATTCAAAGATGTTATTGTAATTGGACATCTCACTGTATAATTAATAAACCATTTAGATGTATTCCAATTGACAGGAGTTTAATTTATTTCTTATGTTCCATATGATTTAAATTTTAGAAATAAATTAATTTACTCATCATCAATTTTCTCTTAACAAAGAGCTTAATTCAAATGAACCAACTTTCCTACATTTAAATAAAGCTAGAATGTTTAAAGCTAAGAAATTAACTGTTAATTCATTTCTTCCTCTTATTATTATTTCATCTATCTCTTTCTTTCTTTTTCCTTCTAATTTTATTCAGTTACCTTTTCATAAATCTTTTAGACTTGCTCTTCTATATCAATTTCCTTCTTTGGAGATTAATCTACATTCTAACTTCTTGCATCAATATCCTACAATTACACTTCAAATTCAATCTATCCTGTCTCTATTAACTTTTCCATTTTTCCCTTCTTATTGTTTTTAGATTACACCTAACCTAATTATTAAATTGGAATCTTATAAGTAAAACATCTCAATCTATCTATTATCATTGAAGAAAGTAAAAATTCACCTTTACCAATTTCGACATCCAAAGAAAATACTTAAAAATAAATTACAGCTGAATTTATTTGTCCTAAACTATTTTCTGTCAATTAGAAATTAGATCTAAATTAAGCATTAAACATAAACTATTTCCCATCTTTTCCTATATCATAAGTCTAATGTATTTGATATTCAATTATATTATTTCTTATCATTGGTAATTTTACATTCAATTTTATTGATTTATCCTAAAATTATTTCGAATTCAAATTTAATGATTTTAATGAAATTTGTAAATATTTTACACTCCTCATATTCAGTGTTTCTAATTCATTTATGTTTATGTTATTTGGTTATTATTTACCTACCATGTTGAAAATTTTACAAAAATCATCTTCTAATTAAAGCTGCTAACTTTCATTATAATCTGCCATTTGAATTTTTAAAAATAAACTAATAACTTATTATTATTAATTAAAAACATTTTTATTAAGTTTAAAAAATATTATCAAGATAGATATAAATCATATAGACTCATTTTTATTATGCTTTAAGTCCTAAGCCTCACATTGAAGAATTAAACTAACACCTTAAATTATATAGATAAAATTACATTAATCAGTAATCTCAATAATTTCCACATTTTTTTTATAGTATAGAAGTCTGGAATTCAATTTTTCTTTTGCTCTCTCATTGAGAATTCCATAAATTATAAATTTTTTAGAAAATTCCTAATTTATTATTTTTATATGGATTTGTTTCGATAACATAGTTTCAAAGACTTCCATTAAAACCAAATACAATGAATCTTTTTAACCTAAGACACGAAAACTTGATTAACAATTCTCAATAGATATTTGCATTTATGGGTAGATTAATTTCATTTATTTTACAACCTTATCAATTTTTATTGGTGCAATTGATTTGTTATCTCTTTTTTCAAGTAAATAATGATACAAGATTATCTTCAAAATACTATTTAGACAAGGTATCGAATATTAGCCAATGAATCTTAATTAAAGAAAGATACTTTTTAGTAAAATTTTGTATTTGTATTAATAATTTTTTTCTAAATCAGAATCCTTTTCAATGTGTGAGAACTTAAATTACTTAATTTTTATCACAATTATTGGAGAAGTTTCGGAAAGTATTGAATAATATATATCATGTAATTTTTTATTGTATTTAATTGTTAGTTTTTGATTCCACAATTGTATATTATCTTTACATAATTGTTTTACCTTTTTAAAAATAAAATCCTCTAAATTTATTTTCGAATCTTAATTCACATTTGAATTTCTTAAAAACTATATTAACTATTCTGTTGTATCGATTCCATAAATAAAATCTATTGATTTCTTTAAAACAAAGGATGTTTTTAAAAGATTGAAATTAAAAATAATGCATGGTTCAACCATCATATTTTCTAGAATTTAATCCCATTTATCATCTATTATTGTAAGTTTAAACTTTGATCTTTCAGCAGAGATATTATTATAAAATGTAACTATTAGTAAGAATTCAAATAAGAATGTTGTAAGTGCAATTGAGTAAGGAAAATTTGGTTAATACAGTATAAAATAGGAAAGGTAGAATGAAAAAAAAGAAATCACTTGCATTAATGCATCCAAAAATTCTCCAGTATTTATAACAATAAATTGGAAGGAAACTATTAATGCTGATTATAATTAATATTGATATTGATTTTACCCTTCATCTGTTTAAGAATAAGTTAATAAGGTTAAATAGTTTATTATGATCAAGGTCCATCTGCTTAATTGAGGCTTAAATTTAAGTATAAAAGCCAGGCTTAGTATTGCAATTAAGTAACCTATGGTTACATAAAGTTCTTTCAAATCAAAGTTCATTATGAGAGCAATTAATTTAGCTATAATTACAAGAAAAATGATAAATATCAACTTCTACATCAGAGGCTTCCTCTTTTTTTGCTATTAGAATTCCTAATATTTTAATTCTAATGTCAAGTCTTTGAATAATAAGGTATACTTATTAATCATATATTAAATAAAATATATTGGAATCCTAAGTTTTATAAAAAAATGATGAAATCGATAATTATAAATGTCACCAAGAATTTATAGAAAAGAAACATTAGTTAAATTTCAATTATGTAATTTCATCTGGAAAATTTGAAAAAGGGGATATCAACCAAATGTAAAAAAAGACATTTCAGTAAAAAATAAGAAAAAGTGAGTTGGAATTTAAAACTTATAGGATGATAAATTTTAAGGAAATAAATTGATATAATTCATTCTTGATTAAGATATGCAATATGATTAGGATAATTTAAAAGTTTGATTTTCCTTCCCATAGATGAAAAGATAAATTAATCATAATTAACTAAATACTTTTTATAAATTATTTTACATTTAATACTTCTTAAAGTTTGTACTGGTTTTCAGATTTTATTTAGATAAATAATTTGTATACTGAAGAAACTATCTTAAAACATTAATATCAATATCTATAGTCTAAAAACCAAATGAAAATTTTCTGGACTTAAAAAAAATTATATATTACAATTGAATAATTATAGATAATAGAATTTTATTAAAAATAACATGAATAGGTACCAGTTATTAATAGCTATAATTTTGAAAATTCGAGTGAAATAAATTATAAGAAAGAGCAATTAATAAAAACCTAAAAGTTATAAAATTTTAAAAATTGTTCCTATTGTAAAAATGTTTCAGAAAGTAAATGAAAGTGTTTGAAAAGATTGGAGAATATAGATTTTAGCATTTAAATTAGATATCTTTGAGATGATTATAAATTTCTAAAAATATATTAGTATATTGATAAACTGAGTTTATATTTTATATATAAATAATTCAAATTTTCAAAGGGATGTAGTAGCCAAAATAATAATAGTTATCAGTGTAGGCATAAAAAGAAAGAGGTAGGATTGAATTACATGTTAGATCGCTTAAAGGCTTAACGTGAAGGATAATTAAATAAAAAAGAATAGGCTTTGAATAAATTAAGTGATGAAGAGGTAGTTGCATAACTAAAGGCTAAAGGATTGGGAGTGTATGGAACAAAGTAAGAGAAATTAGAGAGGTTAAAGAAGGCAATTGGTAATTGATGTATTAATTTAATTAAAGGGATTGAAGTTATTAAAAGTGAATAGGCACCATAATAATAGTAGATGCCAGTTTAATAGCCAATTTAACCACCAAAAGGTTCAGTAGTAGATAACATAAAGAAAATGGAATAATAAAGGGAAGAACGTAGAAAAAATATGTAAGAGATGAAAAGAGAAAAGGCAGAGAGAGAAGAATAAAATTAAATATTAGGTAAAAATGTTGATGTGGAATTTGAATTGATGATTGATAAAAGTAGACTTAAGGGAGGATTGATTTAAGAACATTAAACAACAGAAAATATAAAATTATGTGTATGTGTTAGGAAAAGACCAATTTTTAAAAAAGAAGAAGTAGCTGGAGAAATAGATGCAATAAGTTGTGCAAATCCAATGATTCGAGTACATGAATCAAAATTAAAAGTAGATGGTATTACAAAATATGTTGAAAATCACGATTTTTAATTTGATAATACATTCAGTGAGGTAGAATAGGGAAAGGATATATATGATGTAAGTTTGGCACCATTAATGGAAATGTTAGTTAATTAAGGTGTGGTTACATGTTTTGCTTATGGATAAACAGGATCTGGTAAGACATATACGATGAAAAGCATATAAGAATTATTAGCTATTGATTTATACAAGTTGATTAATGCTTCCCCACAATTTAAAATTGTTGTGTCATTCTTTGAAATTTATGGAGGAAAATGTTATGACTTACTAAATAATAAAGCACCATTATAAATTTTAGAAGATAAAAATAATAACATATAAGTTTAAGGATTGATTGAAAGACCATGTGAATCTGAAAATGAATTGTTCTAATTAATGGAACTGGCTAATTCTGTTAGAACAACACATGCAACTGTTGCAAATGATACATCTTCAAGATCTCACTCGATTTGTCAAATTATGATTAGATAAGGCAATGCAGATATGGGAAAACTTATCTTAGTAGATTTGGCTGGTTCTGAGAGAGCTTAAGATACTTAATCAAATAATAGATAAAGAAGATTGGAAGGTGCTGAAATTAACAAAAGTCTTTTAGCTTTAAAAGAGTGTATAAGAGCAATGGATTCAGCTTAAGGTCATGTACCATTTAGAGCATCTAAATTAACTTTAGTACTTAGAGACTCCTTTACAGCGAAATCAAATAAATCAAGAATTATAATGATTGCATGTATTAGTCCAGGTAGCTCTTCCGCTGATCATTCATTAAATACTCTTAGATATGCTGATAGATTAAAAGATAAATCAAATTAATCAAAAGTATAATTGGAAGAACGGGAAGTATCTAACGAAGAATTATTATATCGATAATAGTAACAATATGCTTTTGATAATAATAATAATAACAACAATAATAATAACAACAATAATAATAACAATAATAACAATAATAATTATAATAATAATAACAATAATATTAATAACAATAATAACAATAATAATAATAATAATAATAATAATAATAATTATAACAGTAATAACAATAATATTAATAAATAATAGTAGCAATAAGAAAAATAAAATACTCCCTTATAATTACCAAAAATTAATGATGCTAGAAATTAAAATAATTAAAATGCAGCAAATTTAAAAAAGAATTAATCATAAGGGCCTGATAAAGAAAAGCCAAAATCGCAACCAGTACCACCACCAAAATAATCAAAGAGAATAAATTCAGTTCAGGAAGAATCTGATGATGAAGTGGCTGCTGAAGAATTAGTTAATAAAAAAAATGGTTAAGTAAAGGAGGATGTAAGATGTATGAAAGAAACGATGATGAAAAACGAGCAAAATAATATAAATGGTAACGGAAATGAATTTTTTGATCTTCATGAGAAAATAAATACAATATTGGAAGAATAAGATGAAATACTAAATATTCATATGGCTGCTATAAAAGTATGAAATTTAAAGAAAATTTAATAGGAAGATGCAAAATTGTTGTAATAAGAAAGTGAATTGATTCAATCTATTTAAGGTGTAGGAATAGTAGATTATGATGTAGATACTTATGTTGGAAACTTGGAAGCATTTATAAAGAAGAAATTAAAAATTTACAATTTGTTAAACAAGAAATTGCAAGTATTCAAGTACTTCTATTGGTTATATGAATTTTAGGACTCATTTGAAAGAGGAAGAAGAGATAAGTTCAAAGATGAAGAATACATTCTATTATTGAAAATATTACATATATTATATAAAATCTCAAACATACTGGTGTTGCTAATTAAATTAATTTTTTTTAAGAATTTAAAAGATGGAAGAAAAGAAGGTATCATTAGATAATAAGGCACAAAAGAAGCCAGGTAAATAGGTTGTATAGCTGGTAATGATGGAAATAAATGTTATTTTTAGTCAGAATAAGATTTAGAGTTGAAAAACAGGTTAGAATAATATGTGGAGGAGGTCATTTAAAATAATCCTGAAAGTTTGGAGAAGCTAAAGACAGAAGTACGTTCAGCAACAACTTCAATGACTTCTGTGCCAAAGCCATTTAAATTCTTGAAAGAATCATATGGAAAATTGGTAGAGTATTATAATGGATTGGAGACATCAAGATTTAAAGTATGAATGTAATATGTAAAAAATATAGAAACAATTGGCAGATTTTTTATCTGTATTGGCAATGACTTATGGAGGAGATAGAGATTCATTACTTTATTTATAGGAAGGGACATTGGAAGAATTCAAATTTTGGGGACATGAATATCTAAGTCATTTAGCTGCAAATATTGGATCAGAATTTTAGATAAGATTATAAAAATAGGAAGGAGCTGATGATTTATTGTTTTTGGTAGATGAGATAGTTCCATATTTTATGGATCATAATTCTGAACATGATGCAATAGATTTATTAAGTGAGGTTGATTAGTTATAAAAGTTAGAATAAGTAATAATAATAATTAATTATAATTAGTATGTAAATCAAGTAAACATTTAGAGAATATTGGTATATTTAATGAGTATAGTTCCATTTTGTTCAGATTAGGATGAATTAGATGTATTGCTTTAGACAGCTTATAATGTTTGTTTAAAAGTTAAAGAATATACAAATGCTTTGAGAATTGCATTACGTATTGATAAACCAGGAAAGGTTGAGTAAGTATTTTAAGAATGCGAAGATGCAACAATAAAGAAGCAATTAGCATTTTAATTGGCTAGACATAGATATTAAATAGATGAGGAAATAATTAATGAGGAGACTTTAAAAAAGATAGCAGCAAATTAATATTTGAGTTAATTTTACATAAATTTGGCAAAAGATTTAGAAGTATTGGAACCAAAGACACCAGATTAAGTTTATAAAGCTCATTTGGAAGAAAAGAATAGAGAAGCAAATTTTGAATAGATTTAGAAAAATTTAGCAGCTACATATTGTAATGGATTTGTAAATGCAGGATTTAAGAAAGATGCATTAATGAGTAATAAAGAGAATTCATGGTTGAGTAATGTTAAAAATGATCATACAACAATAGCAGCAGTAGCTAGTATAGGATTAATAAATTTATGGAATATTGATAATGGTACAGAATAAATATCTTAATATTTTGATTTAAGTGATATGTATACAAAAGCAGGAGCTTGTATAGGATTAGGATTATTTTGTAGTGGAATAGTAGATGAGAATTAACCAGCATAAGCTATGTTATTATAATAATTGGAGGATCCTGAAATTTAAGTAAAGATTGGTGCTGTAATGGGTTTGGGATTAGCATATGCAGGATCAGCACGAGTTGAATTATAAGATTAATTGATAAGTGTATTGATTGAATCAGTTAGTGTTGAATTATCAGCAATGGCTGCATTATCTTTAGGTCTCATATTTGTAGGAAAATGTAATGATGAAGTAGCAAATGCTATTGTCCAAATTCTAATGGATAGACCAGATACATAATTTGATATGTCAATTTCAAGATATTATGCAGTTGGATTAGGTTTACTCTATCTTGGATAAGCAGAAGCAGCTAGTGTTATCATTGAATCACTTGCTCTTATTAATCATAAGATTGGTAAATATGCTAAAGTTACTATTACTTCACTGGCATATGCATCTACTGGAAATGTCCTTAAAGTTTAAGAATTATTAGGATATTGTTCAGAAGTAACATCTGATGATAAAGGTACAAAAATAGATAAGAATTATGAACTTTAATAAGTAGCTATTCTAGGAATTGCTTTAATTGCTAGTAGTGAAGATATTGGCAGTGAAATGGTTTATAGAATCTTTTAACATATTTTATAATTCTCAGATGTGGAAGTAAAAAGAGCTATCCCATTAGCTGTAGCTTTAATTAATGTAATCTTATATTTAATTATTTATTTAGATATCTAATCCTAAAATATAACCAATGGATTTATTACTTAAACTAGCCCATGATAGAGATTAAGAATTATCTTATCG